TTGATGTCAAGTACATTAATTTTGCTATTTAAACATTAACCATATGATACCTTTATTTGTACCATAATGTACTTAATTTGATACTGAAATAAAATTATCAATTCAGTACTTATGAGAAACTATAGTGTATCTGAGAATTGCTTCATTTTGTAATGATCTAACAATTATCTCTTTGCAGGAGTTGAATATCAGCACAATGGATTGGTTCTATATTGCTGCTGGATGTGTTGGTATCACACAGCTGGTACTTGACTGCTGGACTTGGATTCAGACATTTAAGATACTTGGATTTTTAGCTTTCTTAAGGTGAAAGAGTAGTTGTAATATTTGTGTGTGTGTGTGTGTGTGTGTGTGTGTGTGTGTGTGTGTGTGTGTGTGTGTGTGTGTGTGTGTGTGTGTGTGTGTGTGTGTGTGTGTGTGTGTGTGTGTGTGTATGTGTGTATTTATTATTATTTATTATTATATTTATTTATTATTTATTATTGATTTATTCTCTATCTTACCCTGGAATTATAAATGTAGCAATATACTATCATGACAGAGAGCTAAACGATCATCTCAACTGTTTGGCCACAGGTTCATGTACTGTAGCTTTTGTGAATTATGTTGTATATGGATGGCTCTACAAGTACTCAGCCACCAGGGAATCAATTAATAGAGCATGTGTGACCTCACCTGATTCTGTTCCTTGAAGTTTCATGATTTTTTCTTCTTCTAATGCTGTTGATAGCAACACTGTATTAACATTATGATTGTTATGATATTAAGATTATAGCAATAACAGATGATAACGAATTTTTCTGAAAATCAAGGAAAAAGGTAAACAGCTGAGATAGGTAGGACTAGTTATTGACACCATGGTGAGCACTTGTTGAGCCACCTAAGTAATAAATGAAAAGCACAATGCACAGCATGTATGTCGTGCCATCTCAGTTGATTAAGAGATTGGGGACAATTCTGAAAGTTTCCTCTATTTGAATTCAGGTGTTAATGATAGATCTGGTCCTTGTTCATGATTTTTTATCTACTGTTGAGGTCATGTATATATGCATAGTAAGATTTTCAGTATGAATGCTTCAGATTAGAAAAATGTGTTTCAAGGAAAAGAAATTCATGATAAGAATCTTTTCAATTTTATTTCTATCATTTTTGAAACAACAATATGAAGATACTTTTGAGGCATAGAATCATAGTTTACTGGATAGTAATACCAATTTCAAAGTAATGTTAATTAAATCCATTATAATTCCAGATATGTTATATTGCCAGCAGACTGTGATCTAACCCTCTTTTTGTTCAAACACTTTGGAAAGCCAGTTGGTAAGTAAGAAATATGTGTGAGTAATACTGTATGATGAATATTATCATTAATAGCTAATGTTTTTGCTATTTCTTGAATACCATACATTTCACAGAGCTAGTTGGAAAACATTTAGTTTTGATATCTTGAAATTCATAGAAATATAACTGATTTAGCTTGTTTTATACAACATTTACTAAAGTAAATGCTTTTCCTAATGAGAAGAAACCTTAGTGCTCTAAAATTAAATTCTTACTTGATTAAAGAAATACAAATTTTGGGAAGTGAGATATAAGTTACAGAATTATTGAAAACCTATTTTAGAGAGAATAGTTACATTATGATAGTTATTTTAACAACTGCAGTGTCATTTTTTTTATAATCATGCAATCAATACAGTTAATGAACCAAGTAACTATTTTTTTTATAATGATTATTTTTCTAGAGAGTCTTGAGGGTCGTGTTATATGGATCACAGGAGCTTCAAGTGGGATCGGTAAAGCGCTTGCTATTCGACTGGCAAAAGCAAAAGTAAGAGTTGTTCTCTCTGCACGGTCTGTAGAGAATTTGAATGAGGTGAAGCAGAAATGTATCGGTGAGTCCTTGGATTACTTTATTTGTATTTGTTTAGCTTTAGAAAGAGGATTGACATTCTCTTTTTCATACTATTATGATAATCATCATCCATCACTGTTGTCTTTTATCTTTATTATTGTCAATACCATCACTATTGTTATCTTTTCCATGATATTTGTTATTGTTATTGCTACTAGGATTATATTTCTTGTTTTTATTCTGAATTTCTGATCATTCTTATTCTTTGTTTATTCTTATTATCATTATTTCAGTCTTATTTATTGTTTTTATTATTATTATTATTATTATTATTATTATTATTATTATTATTATTATTATTATTATTATTATTATTATTATTATTATTATTATTATTATTAATTATTATTATATTATTATTGTTATTATTGTTATTATTATTATTATTATTATTATTATTATTATTATTATTATTATTATTATTATTATTATTATTATTATTATTATTATTATTATTATTATTATTATTATATTATTTTCATTATTATTATTGTTATTGTTGTTATTATTATTATTATTATCATTATTATTATATTATTCATTAACATTATTATTATTATTATTTATTAACTCAGGCCTCCTTGAAGGTACCCAATGTGTTTTTCAAGCCATATGTCTTTTATGACTGATTCAATTTGTTTGATATAAGGTATTACTGCCAATTTTTGCCAAAATTCCTCGAAAGCATCCATCAACTATGGTGTAAAATTTCCTTGCTGAAAGGCTATAAACTGTGATCTGACTTGAGATAATGATGGCATAACACAGATGTCTGTGCTGAAACTGCCCTTAATGGCATGGCATAATATATGTGCCATGCAAGGGAATGGAGTTAACTGTACTCTTGAAGTTTATAGCATAATTATATATGAAATAAAATCCTATTATGTTCATAGTGCAAATAACAAGCATAAAGAGACTATATTTAATTTTATTGCTTTTTTGTGCATTTATTTTTCATGTAGTATCTAATGGAATGCAAATGTCTCAATAATTCAGCAAAAAAATGGATTTAGGGGATGGAAATGTGGTAATATTTTACTTTTTCTTACTTATGTACTAAATTCTCAGAGCCCCTCAAAGAATGTTGGAAATATCTAATTAAGTTTCATGGACTCTTTCAGAAACTGGAGGCTTAGAGGAGAAAGATGTTCTTGTCTTGCCATTAGATATGGTTCAGTATGACCAACATCAGTCTGCATTTGATAAAGTGATTGAACACTTTGGAGAGGTAAGATAGAATTGAGTGACTTTGCATTCATGCTTTTTTTTGGGTAGGTAAAGGAATATGTTTTTATTTTTATCTCTTGAGAATGAGTGAGAATGAAATTTTAGAATCAGTAACAGTTGTGATTTACATATATGTTAATTAATTATGATAATCTACAATTCCAATCATTTAAGCACAAGCAATTTCATTTGATTTTCATTTACTCAAAAACCAGTTGCATGTACTGTTAAAATTTGGGAAAGTACAACTGAGAATGTATCATGTAAATGAAGTTTTGGTGTTGGATCTTTGAATTACTAATGCTAATCATAATTTTGAAGTATTAATCCTCAAAGTCCTAATCACAGCAAATGCACATTACTACATTTTTTTTTTTTTTTACAAAGAGACCTCCTCCACATTTTTACGGTAGAATATATGTATGTCCACTAATGTATCTGGTACAGTCTGGCAAGTTCCCTCTAGGCACATTCACCATGCCATCAATTCCTCTTGCAAACTCTCCACTCCCTAAACTGGTTATACAGTTGTGTTTTCTGAATGTAAAGAGCATAAGGTAGTAATTCTGGCATTGCATGACATATTACATTAACCAGATCCTCCATTTTTCTTTTCCCCCTTTCTTCTGTAAAATTGTGTATTATGTGTCATACATTCACATCTTAGTGTCTTATTGTCTTTTTATTATTTTTATTATTGTCATCCTCATCAATCATCCTCATTTTGATCTTAATTGGTTATTTCTATTGATCCTAATCATCGTTGTTATCATTGTCCATTTTATTATCATCATCATAACTATCTTTCTCATCATTATTGCTATCCCTATCACCATCACTGTCACTGTCATGATCATTATCACCATCAGTTATTTCTATTTAGTAATTGTTAGTTGTGTTTTCATTTAGCCAGCCCTTTCCCTTTTACTATCATCCTTCATTTTTTTCAGCTGGACATTCTTGTGTGCAACGCTGGCCGTTCACAGCGTGGCCGGTGGGAGATGATTGACCTAGAGGTGGACCGTGAGCTCTTTGAATTGAATGTATTTTCGCTCATAGCCCTGTCCCGGAGGGTGGTCAAGTATTTCCTACAAAAGGGGAAGGGACATGTAGTGGTGACCTCAAGCACAGCAGGAAAGTTGGGAGCTCCCATGTCTGGTTCCTATACGGCTTCAAAACATGCATTGCAGGTGGTTGTCTTTATCTGTTCATTCTGATTTGGGTGTACGTTTTTAAAGTGTTGCCATTTTTTTGTTCCTCTTATTTTCCTGTCTCTTACATTGGCTTTTACCTTAAAAGAAAGAAAAAGTGTGTTCCCTTCCAGCGTAAAATAAATTATCTAACTTATCACCTGCATGTTAGATTCAAGACTTTTTGCTCTTTTCTTCAGTTACTATTTTGATTTTATTTTATAACTTGAAAAATGATAAATCTTTCATCAAAAGTTATATGGCTTAAAGATGATGAAGGATGGCAAAATTAATTTTGCTATTACATTTCCCACTTGTTTGGTACAAACTACCTGAGTCAAAATTTTCTTGTAATGTTGATACAGCAAACAGAAAGTATGAAAGATGTCAAAAGACACTTTTCCAGATAACTTTTGTGTTGTCATTAGTAATTAGACAATTTTTTTCTCCTTTAAGGGTTAAAGAATACATTTTTTTTTTCTCACAGGGATATTTTGACTGTCTACGTGTTGAGAAGGCAGGGTGTGGTTTAGATATCACCATGTTCTGTCCAGGCCCTGTGGATTCTAATCTCCTCAAAGTGTGTTTCACAGAAGAGAAAGGGAAGGTGAGTGTCTGATTAAGTGTAATTTTTACATAGGAAATAAGTGTTCCTATGTATACTTATGATTACTCAAATTTTACAGGGCATGATGTAGTCTTTGTAATTTCATTAGTTTGATTATATTTCAGCACATTTGAGTCTCTTCATTCATTTAATTTTATATAGGGAGTATGTGTGTTTGTATTTGAATAGTGTTAATGACAGGGCAGTGTTGTATGTGTACTTGTGATTGATTCAGTTTTACTTAAATGGCTATCAGGAAGAATAAAAAATGGTTCAATGAAACCGATTCATCCTTTAGCTTGTCGAAGCATATAAAGTTGTGGCAGTATGAAGTTTGAGGGTGTTATTGTGCTGGGCTCAGTTATATAATCTGTTTCTGTACTGGTAGAGGTTTATACTCTAATTTCTCTTGAGTGGTAAATCAGTCTATCCTAAGCTTCATGAAGTGTGCATTGCATGTGCACTTTAGCCTTCTGAAATGGTCACAACTGTTGTCAAACAGGTTTCATATTCCACCTTGAATACCCAAATAATGTGATCTTTGTTGTTTGAAGCTTTTTTTTTTTTTGACTGTCGCTGTATTGTAGAACTAGTGCAATCATATTTTCCTTTAAGTGAGCAGCATTCTCAGATGTCAACTTGTCTAACCTTGTCCATACAGCCATTTTACAGTTTTATTAATCCAACCTCCTTCAGGTGTTAAATTTTCTTTTTGGTGTTATTGGAATTTGTGTTAATTTTGTTTGTTCTCAGTAGTTGAAAGGAAGTATTTATACCTGGAGTGTGGTGGGGCATTGGCAAAAGGTGCAAATGGCTGTGAAATTTCGAAAGGCAAATAGGATGTAAATAATAAGGTACCTTCATGGACACACATCAAACACCCAGGGCATTGCCTAAGAGAATGGCACAAGTAATGTGCTACAGTGGTCCCATATCTTTTGTGGGACCGTCCAGCCTGGGCAGATCTGCCAACACTTAGCGTGGTCCGCATATCTTACCAGCTGGGCAGATCAAACTTAACGTTGTGTTGGGGAGCTACTCCGATGCGAGTGGGCGTAGCTTATGCAGCTTGGTTATTTTCAAGTCTATTTAAGATGGATTTTTCTATAATTGTCATGCTTGTTGAAAAGGAAAACTTTGGAGCTGTGTGGATGCAAAGTGGCTTTGTTTATCAGTAGTCTTTTAAGTTCATCTTGTAATATATACTCTAGAGTTCATCCTCTTTTGAAAGTCATGTTTCTTTCTGGTTTTATGGCTTGTCAAATATCATGTATTCAGACTGTGGAGATGAAAACTATAGATTTATTTTTGTTTTTGTTTGGTTTTTATTCAACTAATATTGGAGGTAGCAGAGGTAGTCTGTTGCTACTAGAGGTAGTGTGAGGGATCCTCCTGCTTCAGCTGCTGGTGGAGGCGGTGTGAGGAATCATCCTCCTGCTGCTGTTGGTGGAGGCGGTGTTAAGAATCCTCCTCCTGTTGCGGCCGGAAGTGGTGCTTGGAATCCTCCTCCTGTTGCGGACGGAGGCTGCGCGAGGAATCATCCTCCTGTTGCGGACGGAGGCTGCGCGAGGAATCATCCTCCTGTTGCGGACGGAGGCTGCGCGAGGAATCCTCCTCCTGTTGCTGGAGGCAGCCTGCTGCTATTGGAGAGGTTGTGAGAATGCATGTTGGTCACTCCTCACATTACAGGTTGCTGTGCCACATATTGAAGCAATCTGCTGGACACAAGAGACATCATACATGCCGCACCTGTAGCGTGTCTCTTTTCTGGCATTGTGGCTCACTCTGCAGTGATGACACTGGCGGTACTTGTGGCCTGGGTTGAACACCAGGACATGGCCCTGTGGTACCTGCTGGCGCTTCTACTGCTGCTGACATGGGATATTCCAGCAGGGGGGAAGTGATGAGGCGCAGCCAGAGGCATCCGAAAGCCTCCCCTTCTCCCATAGGCCAGAGGTTTATGAAGGAGGTCTGCAATGAGTTCAAGCTGGAGCTGAAGTTGGCTGAAAGTGCCACCCAACACCCTGTGAACAATGAATGCAGTCACCATTGCCATGTCGAGCACCTGATAAAAATCATTCTGATACCACTTGTTGCTCTTTCTGGCGGTGGATTATGACGAAGCCAACTGATCAGAGAGGTCGATCCAACTCCTCCCACTTGGCATTGCACTCTGATGCCCCCTCCTGTGAGAAGTCGGCATCGTTGTTAAAATCGAAGTCATCCATCTCCCAGTCGGAGTCTCTGATGTTGGAAAGGGTGGTGGATCGTCGATGGTTGTCAAGAGAGCCTCCTTCACCTCTCCTTGACCAAACATGGTCACGAAAAGATAGAGGTGTGACTCTGGAGCATTCCTCAGCCATCTTAGGCCCTCTCCTGAGGTTGATGACCTGGGGTCGTCATGAGTACTTCTAGAGAGAATGCAAAATTAGAATCACAAAAAAAAAAAAAAAGTAAAAAGTATAAAAGAATGAAATGTATTACACTACACCAAATGAACATGTTAGTACTATCCATCATTATTCTTACCTTAACGAGTTGCAGATATGAGCTTAAAGTTGGTGGGACATTTTCTGGTAGCAAAACAAGGACAAAAGTCAGGCCTGAAATTTAAAAAATCCCCTTTTCCCCCCTATTTATACAATGCTTGCCCGAGACGTCATGGGGAGGAGGGGATGGTTGGTAGAGGGGGAAGAGAAGAAGGGAAGAAGGGAAGAAAGGAAGAAGGGAAGAAGGGAAGACTTCATGGGGGGAGGGGGTGGGTAGGCATCAGGTGGATTCCTACCCTCCCCACCCCCTGTGAGGTCTCTTCCTTCCCCTTTTCCCCCTCTGCCCCACCTGACAAGAGATCACATAACTGTTCAAAGTGGTTCATTCCGATTGTCAATGACCTTGAGGTCAAGATGTGCTCCCTACCCCTCCTCCCCAAGGTCTTCCTTTCCCAATCTGCCCCACCTGAAGGGGGAGGGAAGGCCTTGGTGAGTAGCTGACCTTATTGTGAAATACACAGAGTGATTTGCAAAGGTAAAATGTGCACAGTTAGAATAACCAAAAAAAAAGATCTTGTTATGTACACCAGTGGGGGAATGGGGGAGGGCGGGGAAGGGAAGTGCATCTTCATGTGAATACCGAGGATGAGACAGGTGTTACAGGGTCTGCTACTTCCCTGCTTTGCTTATGACTTGTCACTGTCATGTTGATTGTTTTGAAAGCTACCATACCAAGAACAACTACAGCTTACCAGTACAAGTAGCAGTTTGGTGTGTAACTGAATATATTTTATTTTTGTAAAAATAAGTTATGAAATTGAAAGAAAATCTAGATTTTCTTCCCCAGTTATACCACATTTCTTCTTTTACACAGTATAATAATCTTATTCACTGAAATAAACTCTGAGCATGTAAACTAGTCTTCTCAAGTCAACAACTCATATTGTCATTTGGCACTCTGAAGTATGTCACAAAAAGGAATTATTGGAGACCAAGGGAGTAACAGGCTTGTACACAACTGCTTACCTCTTTCTGTGAGAACTGGATTTGTAAAAATGAATGAAAAGGCATTATAGATTACATTCTGCAAAGAAATTGGTAAATTTGTAAGGAAAATAAGAATTAAATAAAATGATATAGCTTGAAATCATCCTAAAATACCCCAAAAGTATTGGACAGTCCTTTAAATAGATAAACAAGTAAATGATTGAATGCCATCCATTTTTCATGACAGGAACTTGGCCAGGAAAGGAAAGGCAAAAGAATGTCAGCGGAACGTTGTGCAGATCTCTTTGCCATATCAATTGCCAACAAACTGTCGGAGGTTTGGGTAGCTGATCAACCAGTCTTAACCATGTATTACCTAAACCAGTTTATTCCTTCACTGATGAAATGGTAAGTATTTAAGTTAGATAAGGAGTGTATTTGTCAGGGCAAAGATCAAGGGCAATAGTGACACTGAAGTAATGTGTATTTTGCCAAGGTATATGGATTGAGAATTTCCAAGAGATTATTGATGAAGGGAAACTTTAACCTATTCAGTGGACATTTGTCAAGCACTTCCTGCAAAAATATTTGAGCTGCATGTGCCAGCTGTAGGAGAATGAGTATCTACATCAATTTAGTGATTTAAAGAGAGAAAGTGAAAGGTCACAAAACCAGTACTTTTTTCCAAGGGGTGCCTTTTTTTCAGAGACCTTCCCATTATCATATGAATCTTAAAAAAAGGCAAACATGTTTTTATCAATTTGTGAGAATTTTGGTTTACATAGTAATCTATATTTTCTAGAATTATCATTCTGATCCAGCAATCATTTCTAGGTATCCTACTTGTTCAGATGTTTCCTTGCTGCCATACAGAGAAAAACAATAAAATGCTAAAGCTAAATGAATTTCCCCTTTTCTTCCCAGCGCTTTACAGGTTCTTCCGCTGAAGGCAATAATGAAATTGCGAGATGGCAGAGATGATGCAGCTCAGCTAACGGGTGCAGAGGGAAAAAAGGAATGTTGATTTATATGTACATAAGTAAAACTTTCTTGTATAGTACTGAACTAATGGCAGAAGCGAAAGATTCATAAACTAAATGGTGCTTAAATTACATGGATACATTTTGTGATAAAGATTGTTGCCTTATCATATATATTGGGGTTTGCCATAAGGCCTACATATTCATATGTATCATATTTCTTACATTATATTTTTCTCATTAACAAGTTTTGTTCTTTCCTTCCATATGTAGCATGATATATTTTTAACAAAAGCTTTTCAGTATAGGTTGAAAGACCATATTTTTACATGTGATGAATAAAAAAAAAGAAATTATTGTATATAAAATTGGGAATAAAAACTATTTCTGAAAGTTACTTTTTTTATTATGAAATGCTAATGCTTAAAACTTAATTTAACACAGTGTAAAATAAACAATAAAAAATAATAATTTACACATTAAAATGTACTCTTAAAAGAAACTAAAAATTCAGTGTAAAAAATTATTCACCTTCAGGGATAAAGCTCCGGAAATGATTCTTGTCGATGTCTGGCTGTTTGCACTATAACTGAAATGAAATA